GATATGCCACGATGGTTGCCTAGCCAACAAATACAGTTGCTCATCAATACTGTCATCGCCTTGACATTCTTTTCGCAACCAACCACTGAAACTTTCCATGTGCTGACTCCTAATCCAAGCTTCAGTCTTTCCTGGAAACTTGGATCGTAAGAACTCCTTATGTATCTCGATGTACGGATGCACCAATGACGAGTTCTGAAGAACTGTGTAGTGTGCTTTATTGAAATAATCGTCTTCCATGCCGATATATGTTTTCTTCCCTAAAGTTCCTTTACCACTAAGTCTCCCCTCGTGTCGCGATTCGGGAACGCCAATCGGGGCAAGGTCAGGAATAAAGTCAACATAGAACTTAATGACCTCCTCTGTTCCATAGCCCTGGGCGATGCTTTCTTCAGGCTTAGAACGGACTTTCACATATTTCTTCAAGACTCCCATAAACCTCTCGTAGGGGAACATGTTATGTAAGAACACAGGTCCAAGAATACTAATCTGCTTCACCAAATGAATTAGGAGGTGTGTCATGATATTAAAGAAGGATGGAGGGAACACCAACTCAAAGCTGACAAGACATTGAACCACATCATTATGTAGAGTAGCTAGTTCCATTGGATTGATTGCCTTCTGAGAAATTGCATTGAGGAATGCACATAGCTTCACGGTGGCTAGACGTATATGTGGAGGTAGAATTCCTCTTAAAGCAACTGGAAGCAATTGCGTCATAAGCACGTGGCAATCGTGGGACTTTAAGTTTAGGAATTTCTTCTCTGTCACATTTATTATACCCTTTATATTGGAGGAGAATCCGGATGGGACCTTGATGCTGCTTAGACATTCGAACATACTGTCCCTCTCTTCTTTGCTAAGCATGTAGCTAGCAGGACTTAAGTAATGACGTCCATCATCTATCTTCTCTGGATGAAGGTTGTCTCGTTCTTTCATGCCCTGCAAGTCCTGGCGTGCTTCAAGTGAATCCTTTGGCTTCCCGTACACACCCATGAATCCTAACAGGTTCACACAAAGATTCTTTGTCAGGTGCATCACGTCGATTGCGTTGCGGACCTCTAGGACTTACCAATAGGGTAGCTCCCAAAAGATGGACTTCTTCTTCCACATGGGTGCGTGTCCCTTAGCATCTTTGGGAACAGATTCGCTGCCTTATCCCTTTCCAAATACTACTTTCACATCCTTAACCATTGCGAGTACATCTTCCCTGGTTCGGTTATGAGGCTTCTTCCGGTGGTCTGGCTTACCTTTAAAATGCTTCCCTTTCTTTCTTACTTGGTGATTCAAAGGAAGGAATCGACGATGGCCAAGGTACACGACCTTTCGACATCTTTTCAAATATATACTGTCAAGGTCATCAAAATAATGTGTGCATGCATTATATCCTTTGTTTGTCTGACCTGAAAGATTACTTAAAGCAGGCCAATCATTGATTGTTACGAACAACATTGCTCGTAGGTCAAAGTGTTCTTGTTTGTACTCATCCCAGACACGTACACCTGGTTTGTTCCATAAAACTAGAAGTTCTTCAACTAATGGCTTCAGATAGACATCAATGTCGTTGCTAGGTTGCCTCGGACCTTGAATGAGGATCGGCATCATAATGAACTTCCGCTTCATGCATAACCATGGAGGAAGGTTGTAGATACATAGAGTAACTGGCCAAGTGCTATGACTAGTGCTCTGCTCCCCAAAAGGATTCATACCATCTGTACTTAAGGCGAACCTTAAGTTTCTAGCCTCATTTGCAAACTCTGGAAATTCCCTGTCTATCGCTCTCCACTGAGACCCATCAGCTGGGTGTCTCAGCATATTATCTACCTTACGATCTTCTTTATGCCACTGCAACAACTTTGTATGGTCTTTATTTTTGAACAAACGTTTTAAGCGTGGTATTATAGGAGCATACCACATAACTTTGGCAGTGATTTTCTTTCTAGGACGTTGTTCACCCTCGACGTCACCAGGATCATCGCGCCTGATCTTATACCGCGATGCTTTACATACCGGGCATTCATCCAAATTCTCGTATTCATTGCCATGGTAGAGGATGCAGTCATTAGGACATGCATGTATCTTCTGGATTTTTAATCCCAAAGGGCAAACAACCTTTTTTGCTTCGTACGTAGTGGTGGACAATTCATTTGGCTTCGGAAGCATCTTCTTTATGAGGTTCAATAAATTCCCAAATGCCTTGTCGGATACACCATTCTTTGTCTTACACTATAGCAATTCCAGTGTTGTACCCAGCTTTTTTTGCCCCTCTTCGGCCGTCGGGTATAGCAACTTCCTATGATCCTCAAGCATGCGCTCAAACTTAACTTTCTCTTTTTCACTTTCGCATTCTTGTTGTGCATCACGAATGGCATCGCCAAGAGCATCACCGAGATCATCTTCTGTCGCTACCTCTTCTTCGTCTCCCCCCATTGTAGTATCATCAAAGGCACCATACTGAGCAATAATGTCATCAACGTCTAAATCTTCTCCTTCACCTTCTTCCATCATGACCCCGCTTTCTCCATGCTTAGTCCAACATATATAGTTTGATATGAAACCTGACTTAAGTAAATGTGAATGAAGACTCATTGAGCTTGAATATTCCTTTAAATTTTTACATAGGGCACATGGACAGCACATGAAACCATCCCGCTTATTTGCCTCGGCCACATCTAAGAAATAGTGCACGCCCTCAATAAAGTCTTGGGAGCGGCGATCGGCATTGTACATCCAATGGCATGACATAATCTGCATTACACGACAAATTATGAAAACCTTGAACATAATTAAGTATTTTATTACACAACATAGATGACACACACACGGTTGATTAATTAACTAAGTCTGGCTACAACGTAAGCAATCTCAACTATCACTAAACAAACTAAAACTACAATGTACTTCAGTAACATAATTATTTCGTGACCGTACGCAACTAAAATAGACAAATCATTCGTCTATTGAATATCAATAAGCTTCTCCTGCTGGCTCACTGTCTCATCATCAGCAGCCGCTACCTCAAGCGCACCCGAATTCTGCACGTATGTAGCATAATCTTCCTCCCAATATCAACCATCGCATCCATTGCCCTCCCACTGAAATTAAAGCCAAAAAATATTTAGTCAAAAATATTTAAGAAAAACAGGTCAATTAGCCATAATAATCAAATGCGTAAGAAACTCACATCGCGATCCGGGCACTTGTAGAAAACACGACCCTTGTTGGGTCCCTATCTCTTGACTCGGTACTCCATCACAATCTTCTGCTTACACTTGCCGCAGATAATGAGAGGGAGTTCTGGCCTCAGTCGTTTCGCAACCGAACGAGAGGCCGAGGATCCGGTACCAGTTGTCATCTACTTTCTATACTTATTTTTATAAACTAGTGTAAATTTCACATTTTCTAAAATAATATATTTAAACAAAACTAAAATTATTTATTTATCTAACTAAACCATGAAATATGTACTATGTATAATAGTAAAATACCAAACTATCAAGTGATTTTACTATTGTAAATCATCATGTGATTTTGAGCTAAAAATGACATAGAAATCACATAGCTCAAAAACATGTTTCAATAAATAACCATCCGTACTAGTTGACCTTACTTACGTGATCATCTCGACGAGCATTTCTCCACCGGACGACACCGTACTTGGCCAAGAAAGAGCTCCGATTCTATGAGAAAGGAAACACGGTCTTCCACGACCGTTGCCGCTCTCCCTCGTAGAATCAAAGCTCCTCCTTGACGTCCGTTACCGCTCGGCAGAGAACATGCTCGCCGAGATAAACACGGTCTGCAAGTTCAACTAGTGTGGATTTTCTATAATTTTCTAACTATTTTCTTAGTTTTTCATTTCATGGAAAAATTAATTCTAAAAAAATAAAAGGCATGATTTCTAAGTATTTCATTTCATGGAAAAAATAATTCTAAGTGACCTGCTCGATATCGTCGAGCTCGCGGGCGTTTAGGTTGCCGAGGATAGTAACATTTGTAGATGACATTTGTAGGTCTGAAATTATCAAATATCCATCAAATTATAGCTAAAAACATGTTTCAATAAATAACAATCCGTACTGGTTGACCTTGCTTACGTGATCATCTCGGCGAGCATTTCTCCACTGGACGGCACCGTACTTGGCCAAGGAAGAGCTCCGATTCTATGAGGAAGGGAACACGGTCTTCCACGACCGTTGCTGCTCTCCCTCATAGAATCAAAGCTCCTCTTTGACATCCATTACCGCTCGGCAAAGAACATGCTCGCCGAGATGAATACGGTCCGCAAGTTCAACTAGTACGGATTTTCTATAATTTTCTAAGTTTTTCATTTCATGAAAAATTTAATTCTAAGATCACGTAATATTTTGATGAACTAATTTAACTTTTGTTTATCCAAATATATATGCAAATCATCATGTGATTTTGAGCTAAAAATGACATAAAATCATAATAAAGTCCAACATATAAAGTTACACATGCATCTACATCGCAAAATGAGATAAGCTACTGATAAAACATAAGAGGATTAAGTTTGTTACCTCCAAAATCGAAGAACAACACCAATGGAGGGGGAGAGAGCAAGAACAACAACAAACTGAAGGACAGAGGCAGTGAGTTTAAATGGAATGGCTCGGTCTCGGGGAGGAAGAAATGAGCTGGTTTATAGGCCGGGATAATTAGTCCCGGTTAGGAGGTCAAACCGAGACTAAATATTAATCTTTATTACCAGAGCATCACCCAAACCGAAACTAAACGATTTAGTCTCGACTGGTATTACCAACCGGGACTAAAGGTTTACCTTTACCTTTAGTCCTGACTGATATTGGTAATACCAGCCGGGACTAAAAATTCCTACCCCACGGACAGCCGTTAAGCAAGAACCTTGAGTCCCGATTGGTATTACCAACCGAAACTAAAGGAGTCTTGAGTCCTGAGGAAAAAAAATATCAAGGCTAATAACAAATTAGGACGTCGTAAAGTCTGTTATCCAGTAGTGGTTACTCGCCGCCCATGAGGATGCCCTTCTGCCAGACGCACGGCGACGCCTCCAGGCCGCCGGGCTGCACCTGGTGCACGGCCGCGATGGCTGGCTCCGTCCGCCGCCGGCTCACGCTGGCCAGGGCGCGCCGCAGCCGCCCGCCAGGCCCCGGCGCCGAGTGCGACGCGCACAGCGCCAGCGCCAGCGCGCACACGGCCAGGAAAGCTGCCGCGGCGGACACCGCAGGGCCGAGGTGGCTGCCTGGCCCTGACGCCGCCGGCAGCGCGGCGGCGATCGCGTGGAGCGCGAGGTGGCGCGGCATGCTTGCTTTAATTTCTGGAGTGGAATCCCAGAAGTGTTTTCTCTGACTCTGAGCGGTCACTCGGTCAGGTGTGGTGTGCTGGCTCCTTATATTCCGTATTTTTCAGCTTATTTTTTTTTTTTGGAGTGGAACATTGTTCGTTTCTCTTGTAATCCATCTTTTTCAGCTTGTTTTTCCAGCCGAAACCGTGTTTTTCTCTCACAGCCAGATTTGCCGTGCTTTTTCGTGCGTGGAGTAGTTTGCTTGCTCTGTCTGTGAAAGAGCTGCATGGAGCTGGTGGTGGAGCCAAGACTGGAGAGTGGTTTGCTAGCTCTGCATGTTCCAACTTGCCCAGGCATTGACTCTTGAGTGCTAACTGAACCATTCTGTTTCGAACCTTTCCAAAATTCAGCTATTTTAGAGTAGTAATTTGAAGCTTTAAAAGGCCTAAAAATTTGACTGCAGCTTCTAACAGACATATTGCTCAAATCAATATTTATTATGTTTTTGTTTGTGATATGTAAGGATGGAAAATATCTCAGTTTGGGTCACTTTACATGACGAGATAAAACAATATGTTGCCAATTATGCTACTACTCCCTCTGTCCCAAAAACAATGCAATTTTCTCAAGTTTGACTTATTTTATAGAAAAAATATCAATATTTATGTCCCCAAATAGTTTTACTATGAAAATATATTTCATAATCAATATAACGATACTTATTTGATTAATACTTTTTTCCTATAGAGGTGGTCAAAGTTAAAATTGTTTCTCTTCGGGAATTGAGAATTGCATTTTTTTTTCTTTCTTTTTACAATCTCTATTGGCGAGGCATCAGCCTTTTATTCCGTCTTCCAATCAAGAAACAAAGCAACTCAATCCCCCAACCCCCAACCCCAACACACAAAAACTGACACAATAATTGCGTGCATTGTTTTCTAAGAGTATTATGATCAGTAATTTTAGATGTTTCTGGTCCTGATTCCTACTGCCACACAGATATCATGGCTCAGGTTTTGTTCTGAGTCAACACTCTATCCTTCAAGGTCCTGAGGGCTTCTCCAATCCCATCCTGTGCACAATATAACAAAGTGAAAAGTAGTAAGTTTTCAATCTTTTTTTGAAAATAATAAGCATTGGTCTATATGGCTATACCCTTGATACAATGATTGTAGAGTTCCATCGAGACAACGCACCTCAAAAGAAAGCCTATCAGCAATTCTGGCCGCCTGAGTTTTGATTTCCGGTGATAAAGCTGATCTGATAGCTCCAACTAGCACATCGGCAGCATTGTGGATGCTCAAGGCATCATCATTATCTGGGACTAGATTTTGTCTTTGAAGGGGTTCAGGCGCCACTCCTAACCAATGTAGCCTCTCTGCCCAGTAAAATTGGTCCAGCAGGAAAGGACATGTTACCTGCATGAAAAGATTTAGTACAATGGGTCCATCCCAAAGCAGGTAGCCATATCATTAAATGGTCAAGAAAATGCAGAATCTTGAAGATGACGTATTTGTTTGAATCGGTATCAGAACTTCAATTTTTTGTTATAGAATTACTAGGCTTGATGCTTCTTACACATCCAAGTATCACAAGTTTAGTAAAGGACAAGAAAAGAGCAGCAGAAAGACAGCCTCAAACATGACGAAGCTATAGAAACTGCTGTCACCTGAGGGATTCCAGCAAGTAGTGCTGCAGCTGTAGATCCACTGTTATCAAAGCAGTAAAAACATAAAATCGTTTGCGGAAGTACCAGTATCGTGCAAGATTATGAATCAGACACTTGCCAATGAGAGAAAAAATGAGTGCTCTCTTACCTGCCAGCATGGTGAATAGCAGCTGCACATCTAGGAAAAAGCCAACTGTACGGTATTGATCTGAAAATTGTAATATTACTCACAACCAATTCCACATGGCAGGACAAGCATATATAACATCAATCTAGTACTCACCCTAAAAAGCAGAAAAGATGGCCATTAAAAAGGAGAGTGCTGTCACCACCAAGAGAAGGTGAATCCACGCCTCTTGATTCATTTTCTGATGAAGCAATGGATTGGATTGCAGAATCCAATGGCTTGTATCCAGATGAAAAAAGGATGAATCTATAGTCTGATGACTCTATGGCAGCCTTAAGCACCATTAAAAATGCTTTAGGATTTCTAAGAAAGCCCATTCTGCACCAGATTGGTCATAAAAGAAAATATGTAAGAAAAAAATCTGGGAAATTTCTAAGAAGATTTGGAATGACAAGAGGAAAAAAAACTCCTGAAAACATAGAACATAGATATGTAAAATGAAGCTAGACCTAGAACGTAGAATGTTTTGCAAAGTGCAAAGCCATGTCCATAACTTTCTACTAACAGCTACATTTAGAGCAAAATAAGGCAATGAGAGCTGATCAACTTAGGTTCTACAATCTACATACTCTGATATACACTACTTAAAAAGATTAGTTGGTGGTGGTGGTTAGTTCTAAAGTTCTACTATGCCTTAACTCCGAGGACTTTTGTGCATTGATTTGTTCATGCATATGTGTATGCTCAGTGAATCCTTTGTGCACAGCTGTACTGAATTTCTTTGAGGTTATGGATTAATGATAGGTCAGAAAATCTATGTAGCTTCAAGGTTAAAAAATAATATTTGTGAACGATGAATAGCTCGATGAGTAGAGACATAATTTCAATATTTGTTGGAGATCCATTGCAATGCACAAGCACCAGGATAGAAAGAGTAAAAATAACAATACGAGTAATATTGGATGAGAACACACCTACCAATGGAACTTAATCCTACAAATATAGGTCTTGATGAATAAGCATTCCTTGTCAGGAAGTGTTCCAGGGAAAAATGGTTTGCACACAACATACCGCCAGATGAAGAATTGGTATTTCCAGACAACTCCATGCATTTGTCACAAGAAAATTGCCAAGCCATAGGAAGAAACCAAAAGCCACAAGCATGAGCATTGAATGGCCAATATCCTACCATGATGTTATGTAAAGTATTACTGAAATTAGGTACATGAAATTTGAAGAAATATAAACATCTAAAATGATTTTAAAAAGATGTGGGGGCACCAGAGCTCACCTGGGCACTCCACAATTTCTTTGCTGAAACCATACCTGGAAAAACAAAACTAATAATCATTTATCCAGTATAAACTAATACAAGGGTGGTTTATCATTGTACAATTAATTACCATCAATCAATCACAATATTTCATTTCCTAAGTTTCCCGTTGTCAAAGCAGTAGCTCACAGAATATAGAATATAGAATATGAAGGTGTATTAACTTGATTGTTCTCATATAAGGCATAGGTTTCATATATCAAAGGCATGATACTAACAGTAATAAAGGTGACTCCTCTCGCACATGCCACAAAGGAAGATTGGTTACTGGATCCTGCAGTTATCAGAAAACCTGACCTCAGTAATGTTCCAACAGCTTAAACAGGACTGCAAACATACAAACAAAAACAATTATAGATAATACCCACTGTGAAAGGAATAGGGCTAAGATTCAGACAATCATTTCTCCATGATCCCCAACTTTCCGTGAAGAGTGCCCACATCCAGTCGATAATGTCAGTCCAGCAGACCTACCATTGCTTTACAACATTAATGTAGCATTTTTCCCCCTCAATGCTTAAGAGGCATACAACATTTCTCATACATTTCAGATGCTAACATATGAGAATCTGCAATGTCTGTGTCACAGAGGTAGAGATAGAATAAAAATCACATAGCATAAGTATGGTGTATGGCACTATGGCAAACCTGATAATTACATAGAATGGTAAAAGTGTTCAGCCTCAAGGATCTAACGGATATCCCAACTGCTCTACAGGGCTTGGTGTCTACAGAATGAAGTGCTCTATTGTTTCCTCTTATATAATAATAATAATGGGCACTGTGTGAAATACATAAAATGGTAATAGTCATGAGACTATGTCTCTAGAAGACGACCCAATTTATCTGCACGCCATGCAGATAAGTTAAATAGAGTAGCAACTTTAAAAGATATGTTTGCCAATCCGAAACTGATAAATCCAATGACAAAGAAGATTTGAGAGAGAAAACATTGTTATGAGGCATTATTCTGTACCGTGTTTGCAGGAGCTTCTTGGAAGTACTTGTACAGTAGAGGAAATTTTTGTTTAAATTGACGTTCAAATGATGTAGGAGCACTGGAAAAAAAAAACAAGTGCCAGAATATTAAATTATTGAAAATGAGGCATAAACACACTAAAATTACTGATACATATCTAATAGAGTAATACTGTAGAAGATTAGATAACCCCCTAATGAAATAATTTAAAATGCATATGTGAAATCGAAATCAATATAGCCCAAGTACCTATACGGAACAAAATAGGGAGCAGCAATGACACACTTTACTTGGAATAGTTCTGCGAGGTGCCAACCTTCCTAAATCATGAGATGACCCATATTATGATAGCATAAAAAGCATTTTGTTGCTGAATTAGGTTATTAGAAATGATTCTGATTTCCTAAATATAGAACTGATTGGTTCAAAAAATATCGTGGATATGTCCTCTGTCATGTGTGATAAAATCCATTATTTCAATTTTCAACATGTGTTGTGAATCAGGGTTTTCATATCATTACCGCCACTTTTAATAACTGAACAGAATATTTTGAAGAAAATAACAAAACCAAGTTCTAACTTATACATGAACAAATATATTACTTAGTTACTTACCAAAGCAAAGAAATTGATCACAATAAAATCCCCACTGATGCTTGGATCGTTTCCAAAAACTTCTTCAATAGAAGACAAGCATTCTTTCCTGTGCTCCATCTGAATGGCTTTTTTCCACATTGAAAAGGACTCACGCTCATGATTTGATTGAATAGAATCGCCTAAGAAAGATAGTTGCATGAATAATCGTTTTTTCCAGGAAATAACTGGACCACATGTGATTCAATTAGCCTCCTGACAGTGGCACTTACTTGAGATATTCTCTACCTGTTCAGCAGCGAGGACAGGCGGGCTTGACACAGGCATGTATCTGACATTGCTGGCCGCTAGATGTGCTGACAAACTCTGCACCAAGTTCATTACATTATGGCACATGAAGTAAACCGGAGTATGAAAACTGTTCCCCTTTAGCAAGCCTTCTTACCCGGTGCGCGGAATGAGAGATGAACACCACAGCATACTCCTGCTGGTCACGCCCAAAAGTTGCAGCAAGCGCCTACAGAACGAATGCGGATGGAATCAAATTGAAAGCACAGCCCTCCAAACTAAATCGAGTCCCTGAGCTTAATTCTGGTGTATTCTGACGGCTTAGTAACAGGTGGAGCAAAAGGAAGCAAAATTGTCTCCAGAAGTCAGCTGCGAGAGGGGGAGCGGGGGAGGTGAAGGAAGAGAAGCATACTGCGATGGGGAAGACGTCGCCTTGAGTGCCGAAGGCCATGAAGACGGCGCGTGGCCGGCGGCCGCCGCCGGCGCGGCCTGCCATGGTCGCCTCGCGAATTTGGGGGTCTCGTGCGTTGCCTCGCCGGCGGGCTGACGCGGATAGGCCGTAGGCGGGCGCTGTCTGTGGGCTACTGATGGGCCGATCCACTTTTCAGCCGAATTTGAATTTTTTTATTAAATAAAGAAAAAAAGTCCAGGTTACTTGTCTTAACTTTTCCGAAAGTCTACTTCCCTCTCTAAACTCTAAAATCAGATAAACCACCTCCCTGAACTTTTAAAATCATTCATTTTATCTCCCTGATCAGTTATAAACGGTTTTCAAATACGGTTTTGTCTTTTTCTTTTTTATTTATTTTGGCTGAATCTTTGAAAAATCATAGTAAATCACAGAAAAATCATAAAATAAAAACTCCAATTTTGTTGGACTCCATATGAGTAGATCTACACAGTGAACATATAATATGGTATACTTTAATACAAATTTTTTTGTTGTAGCTTTAGATCTATGTTTTTCTATAATTAATTCATAGCTACAGTTTCTATAGTCCAATTATGGTAAAATTGTTATAGTGAGCTAATTATTGTATGTTTGAACTGTAGTAAAAATTTAATACTTATTGGATCATGTATAACTTAGTTATAGATTTATTTATAAATCTAATTAAATGAGTATGAAATTTTACTATAGTTTAAGCATACAGTAATTAGTCCACCATAAAAATTTTACCACAATTGAACCATAGAAACTACAGCTATGAATTAATTACAGAATAGCACAAATCTAAAGCTATAGCAAAAAAATTATACTAAAGCATACCATATTATATGCTCATTGTATAGATCTACACATGTGGAGTCCAACAAAATTAGATTTTCTATTTTATGAATTTTTTTATTTATTATGATTTTCAAAGATTCAACCGAAATAAATAAAAAAGACAAAAGACAAAACCGCTGTTGAAAACCGCTTATAACTGGTCATGGAGGTAAAACGAACGGTTTTAAAAGTTCAAGGAGATGGTTTATCCGATTTTACACTTCAGGGGAAAAACAGATTTTCGCAAAAATTGAGAAAGGTAATGTGAACATTTTCCTTAAATAAAAAACCCAACCAAAAGCCTTAATTGGCCTTTTGCTCGAGAAAAAAGGAGCCGTATGCAAAACTGCAAATGCTTGACTGAAATATAGAAGTGAAAAAATTACGCATTATTATAACAACAATCTTTCCTACTACGGAAAATGCAAGGGGTCATCCGCGTGGGAGGATCGACATATGCCCCTAACAATAGCGATAATGATAGGATGAGAGGACATCCGGACGGACCCCGACCCGCGCGCGCACTTGTACCTAGACATGATATGCCCGCGCCTTTACCCCCACCCTGACACGTCTGCGCCCGTATGCGTGCCTTACGAGCCCACCGCTCCTCTATCATGCCTCCAGCGCCACTCCCTCCCTCCCCCTCTTTCTGCGGTGTAGGCGAGCGTCTCGGTATGGTGGCGCAACGGCCTCGGCGTGAGCGGGCCATGACGAGGACGCAGGCCCAAGTGGCCCTCGACATGGCGGTGCAACGGCACTGATGGCCCCGGTCACGGGTGGACCAACGTAGCAGGGCCAACACGAGGGGCTCCTCGGCGGATCTGGCTCCCTCTCCGAGTCGTGTGAGCGCTGCCTCCTTGCCACGTCGTGCAGCCGCCGCTGCCTCAGGTGAACTCCACACGCCAACGAGCCTCTATTCTCCCAAGCAGTATGGAGATGTTGCGTTGCGCTGAAAGCGCATGTTGCAAGCGTAATATTTCAAGTGTTTCAGATATTTCAGAGGTATATTGTAAGTGCTTCATATGGATGTTGCAAAAGTAAATCAGGATGTTGCACATATTGCTATATGTTGCAAGTGTTTCAGGTGAATGTTGCAAGCGTTTATTCAAAATGTTTTATTTGTTTTAGACGTATGTTTGCAAGCGTTTTGATCTAGATGTTGCATATGCACACATATGTTGCAAGGGTATGTTCTAAATATTTTAGCCTTATATTGCAGCAGTTGTTTTCATGTTGCAAGTTATAAGTGTTTTATCTAGAAGTTGCATATGTTGCAATGGCTATACACGTATGTTGCAAGTGTATGTTTCAAATGTTACAGCTGTTTTCAGAAGTATGTTGCAAGTATTTTATCTGGATGTTGCATATGTTGCAGTGCCTATACACATATGTTGCAAGCGTATGTTTTCAAATGTTTCATCTGTTTTAGACGTATGTTGCGATAAGTGCTTCATGTTGCAAGTGTTTTCAATAGCAGGCATAGGAAGCGAGCGCAGGTAGAAGTATGTTGCAAGTATTTTATCTAGATATTGCAGTGCCTATACACATATGTTGCAAGCTTATGATTCCAAATTATTCATCTGTTTTAGACGTATGTTGTTGTAAGTGTTTCATGTTGCAAGTGTTTTCATTAGCAGGCATAGAAAGCGAGCGCGGGCGGAGGTGGCCCCCGTGTGCATGCACAACAACAGGCATGCGTAGGCGCGTAGCAGCAGTGCATGTGGGCGCGTGTAGCAAGAGAATGTGGCGCGTGTAGCAGGAGCATGCAGGCGCGTGCAACATGCAGGGGTAGGCAAAAGCAGCATGCTTTTATTTGCTTTGAGCTTGTCATATTAGCAAATCTCTCCTCAAAGTTGTGAGAGATGGGAGTGTAAGGAGAGGTGGAAGATGTGTGTCTGCCTAGTCCACCTATAGGAGTGGAAGGAAAATAGAATAATGCACATATGTGGCTACCGTCCAGATAGCCAGACACTGGCCCTTGTTGGTACGCCTGTGTTTGCCTAACTAATGCGCATGTTGTTGCTGCCTGCCCCGCCTACTACATGCGTCTGCTGCTTCTACGCGCCTAAGAGCATCTCCAAGAGTACCCAAAACACTCTCCTTATCTAGGATTTTTAGTAGGATAAGGAAAAAACTATCTCCAATAACTTCTAATACCACCTAATCTTTTTTAGGACTTAGGAAAAAAGCCTCCTTCCGCATAAAGATGCGCGTATCTTTGTTCCCCCACGCAGAGAATCCGGACAGGCGGAGGCGTGTGCTGGCGCCATCAACAGCTCGTACCGGCGGAGGTGTGCGCTGGCTTCTCCACGATTGGTTGTCCGACAGGGAGCCCCGGCTCGTACTGGCTTAAGCCCGAGCATGGAGGTGTGCAACACCGACGCGGTGACGTTGTGCATTGGCATCAGCGGACCCTACACGTCACCGAGCGCCGCAACTGGCACCCTGCACCACTGGAGGCGTGCGACATGAACGGCGGCATCGCGGCCACCTTCTGCCACGTGCCGCCAACGAACTCCAAGAGCACCACCGCGTAGGCGACGCCGCCGCACACCACCACGTCAATGGAGTACTCATGGTACGTGGTTAGGATCCGAGGTAGCGCTGCCAGGTCGCAGCGGCTCAGGAAGTAGGCCATGACGTTCTGTGGCGGGACAAGAGCGGAGGCGCCTCGCTCCCGCTCCTGCTCCTTCCTCCCTGTGGTGGTGGCATGGCGCAGTACGTCCGTACCTAGGAAGCCAGCAAGTCACGAACCTTTTGAGGGCGTGGTTGTTGTTAGGAGGAAGAAGATGATGGTAATTACGAAAATGCCACTTAATTGTATTTTAGGAGTTATTTTTTAGAAACCATCGGAGATAATCTTATTTATTCCTCCTAATTCTTTTTTAGAGTTGAAAAATACTATGGTAAGAAATTATTGAGAACTCTTGTAGATGCTCTAAGTACTATATATCAGAGAGAAATAAAAACATACTGAGAGCGTATATGTTGATAGATTACTTACTGTTGCCTTGACACAAAAATAATAATAATAAAAAACAAAATTCCCCTGCATACATTGTTCTATTTCCCACTCAGGCCATTATTTATGGAATGAATTGAACAACCTTTATAGCACTTCACAAGCATTTGTGTGTTCTACATCGTTTCACTTCCCAAAGTATGTAAACTTGGTGAAATTGCCTCGAGTGAAATTATAAACTATACTATAGAATAATTTAAGAATTTATAATGATTATTCTTACAGTTTTTTGTATATCAAAAGTAAAACGAGTATGATGGCAAAAATATACTCCATCTATTTTAAATTATAAGACGTTTTGACTTTTTTAAATACATAATTTTTGTTATGCACTTAGATAAACACTTTGTTTACATATATAGTAAAAGCAATTTATCTAGAAAAGCTAAAATGTCTTATAATTTAGAATGGTGAGATTAAAATAATCTATCTATGCAAAAATGTTGTATCTCTAAAGAGTCGAGTATGATGGCAGTTGTCAGTCCACAAAACATAAACCATACACACCTTATACAAAGACAAGACAGTATGAGATTTTATTCTTGGAAAAATTTTGGAAATTCATCAAATAATTTATATCGGGTTGAAGGAGCCATTTTTTGTTGTAAGGGACTAAGTACACAAACAGAAATTTATGTGCAGGATAGTGAAATGGCCTGAATTCTTAAAAAAGTAGAAATCGTAGCTTGTTCGGTTAATCATTCTCTGTGGAGATTAGAGGTATTTGGTGATTAAGTCACTTGCCCATGCGGGCCATGCATGTCTCCACGATGTTTAGAAAAACATCAAGCGGCCAGAAAGAAAAAACAAACAACATCGTCTTACACGCGCATCGCTAAAAAGTAAAAACCCACAGATTCGATTCGATCGCCCGTGGAAGTCTTAACAAAGTGGGGAGAAGCATTACTACCCGGCGCGCAGCGTGCACACCACACAGAGTACGGGACGCGGCGTGGGCATGTCCATTTCGTCTGCTGAATGCCAGCTCTTCTAGGAATCGAAGGGAATTCGACGCATTCTTCTTGCCCCGCCAATTGGCATCGTCCCTCCCTCTGGCGCCACTGCCAAGAAACAAGACATCTTGCTCCCGAAGTTACCCGCCACATTTTGTTGCTCTCGCTGCTGCATCGGTGCTGGTGTGGTGTCACAACCAATCAATTAGAACCGGGCGCCTGTACGTCCATACACACGCGCCGGCCATTGAAGCTCCAAGCTCTCGCACGGCCATTGAAGCTCCAAGCTCGCGCACGGCCAGCTGCTTCCCTTGCAGCTGCAGCACGAGCGATCGTCGTCGTCTTGCTCGCGCCGTGCTCCGTTAGCATTCAGTAGCCCTGCAGCTTGGTCGATCATCTCGACTGCGCGCGGCTCCGGCTGTCCGGCAAGATGAACGACCTCTTCACGTCGGGCTCGTTCAAGAAGTACGCCGACCTGAAGCATCAGGTGGTGCTGGACGACCTGGAGGCCGGCGGCGGCGGCATCGAGGCGGAGGCGGCCGCGTGCCTCGACCGGTTCTTCGAGGACGTGGAGGGCGTGAAGGAAGACCTGCGCGGGCTGGAGGCGCTGCACCGGCGGCTGCAGGCGGCGCACGAGGAGAGCAAGACCGCGCACGACGCCCGCGCCGTCAAGGCCCTCCGCGCCCGCATGGACGCTGACGTCGACCAGGTGCTCCTCCGCGCCAAGGCAGTGAAGAGCAAGCTGGAGGCGCTCGACCGCGCCAACGCCGCCAGCCGCAGGCACCCCGGCTGCGGGCCTGGCTCCTCCACCGACCGCACCCGCACCTCCGTCGTCACCGGGCTCGGCAAGAAGCTCAAGGACCTCATGGGCGACTTCCAGGTAGGCGGTAGCTTAGCTGGCTCGCTCGATCTTTTCCTTGATCTTGAAGACTTGAACGACGGAGAGTGCAGGGCCTTCGGACGCGCATGGTGGCGGAGTACAAGGAGACGGTGGCGCGGCGGTACTACACGGTGACGGGGGAGGAGGCAGCGGAGGGCACGGTGGAGGCGCTGATCGCGTCGGGGCAGAGCGAGACGTTCCTGCAGAAGGCGATCCAGGAGCAGGCGGCGGGGCGCGGGCAGGTGCTGGACACGGTGTCGGAGATCCAGGAGCGGCACGACGCGGTGGTGGAGGTGGAGCGCAGCCTGAGGGAGCTGCACCAGGTGTTCCTGGACATGGCGGCGCTGGTGGAGGCGCAGGGCCACCAGCTGAACGACATCGAGAGCCACGTGGCCCGGGCCAGCTCCTTCGTGCTCCGCGGCGCCGTCGAGCTCGAGGCCGCAAGGGAGTACCAGAGGAGCGGCCGCAAGTGGGCGTGCGTCGCCGTCGTCGCTGGCGTTGTGCTTGTGGCCGTCGTCGTGCTCCCCGTCCTCGTCAACCTCCACCTCCTCAGCTTGAGACGGTAGATTTGATCGGCGTTTCGCCGGCGTCCGACATCGATCGATTCCTTCGTCTTGTGCTACCGTGGAACTTGGATTGCGGTGGAGATTGCTGATCGTTCGTATAGCTAGAGAAACAGTGTTGGTTACATTGGAATTGTTGCTTGTTTATTATTCGTTTGAGCCGGCACGTGTACGTACGTGGCAACAAAGCTATGCCTGAAACTGAAAGACGCGCCTTTCTAGCTCAAAGATTCTGGCTCAGACTCATGAAGTCAATGTCCGCACGTCGGCGAGGAACGTTCGTGACCTGCCGAGTGCCCAGGCACCGGGCACGAACGCGATCGTGCAGTGCAAGTGCAACCTATGGCGAGGTAAGGACATGTTTGCCGCGACTAACTTGTACGTTGAGAATTCGATAGGAAGGGATGGGATTTTGGTGGCGGCCGTACCCTGGTACCCGTACAACATGGCTATTCCGTACCTTTTTTTTTTCTCACACACATACTGTACAAGCAGCGGCTGTGGCTGCCAAGCAGCTGCAGCGAACAATATAGATGATCTTGTCAGCAGCAAATTTGGGCGGCGTGGTAACAAGCATGTTCGTCGTACGTGGAGGGAAGGTCAGTGACTGTGAATTGTGACGGAGATGGATAAAACCTTTTTTTGTTTCCATGTTGTGACGGAGATGGATAAAACCTTTTTTTGTTTCCATGTTGTATAATCTAATTAGATTTTGTTATTCATTGTTAGCATCGCAGCACCAGTGGTCTAGTGGTAGAATAGTACCCTGCCACGGTACAGACCCGGGTTCGATTCCCGGCTGGTGCATCTTTTTGCGTTTTTATTTTTGTTTGCTCTGGATTTTTGGCCGTGCAAGATTCTGGACTCATGCTTTCGTCGTCTGCGGTCAATTTTAGTATTTCCGTTTATTATTAGTGCTATATAGTTCGCACGTGTTCATCCGCATCTGATATAGTAGCTAGAATTTCGTTATTCTCGTAACAAAGATTCTTGCTTTTCCAGAGCTTCAGTAAAGTGCATGTTTTGTATACATGTATAAACCTGAGTTTGCAACATAGATACAAATACAAAAGAAGAAAAGCTTATAAAAATCACTAGTAAAAAAAAGTGTAACGGTAAATGGTGCTCACAACATGCTACAGCAAAATTTGTGGCTAGGTCTCGGTTTTTTAACCTAAGATCCGTTTGCACACACATGTTTTACTATGTTAAGGCAGAATATAGCCCGTTGGCGAAATTGTTTTGTGTTTTTTTATTGGGTTGTATAAGAATGATTACAGAAAGATTTTTTTTCCCCAAACAAAGGCACAATGCGGGAGCACAATCACAACCAAGGAGCCCAATATGTAAAATGTCTCAATTCAATTTCACGGTGGATGGGTCATGGGCGGTCGCGAGAATCATCCTCGTCGTAGGGTGTTTGGCGCAATTCTCGCTGCGCCAACCATAGGTAATCCGATTATATATAAGCAATATCCAACAAGGTCTAAATTTAAGTTATTATGGGACTAATTCTATAGTTTTAGAGCATTGTTTTAAATATATGCAAATAAATATTATTGCCTATAACAACTTTGCATAACTTCCCTAAAAAAGTGTTATTCTATTTTATTGGGCTTGGACATGTTAGGGGTTTTCTCCTGTTGCAACAGGAGTCACCGACTATATTTTCTAGTTTTATCCTTGTTTGGTTCACTGATCACGATGGAAGCCGTCTCTTTCCCTTTGAACCAAATGGACTCTTTTCCCTTCGGGCCAAATCGCATACAATTTACTCAGACACAGAGAGAAACAAATTCCCCGTGGGGCCGCAAATCCGTTACGGTTCCGGGTGGCGCGTCGTCACCAAGTTCTAATCAGAGCGCAACCTGCGCATATATATAGATGGATGGAATCCAACGCTTCTGGTCTGATCTACAAAATCTAGTCAAAGACAAGGAAAACGATCGATCCACCAGCTGACCACCATGCCGGAATCCGAAGTGGCGCCGGCGCCGCCACCACCGTCCAAAAGGTCTCGGCACGTTCAAGAGGCGCGGGCGGCGGTGGTGACGCCGCCGATTCAACCCAACGAAGTGATCCTCGAACAGATTCTGACGCGCGTCCCGGCCGCTGCCACCATTCGCCTCCGGGCGGTCTGCCGAGAGTGGCGCACCGCGCTCACCTCCGATCACTTCGTCCGGGCGCACCAAGCCGTCGTCAGAGCCGCTGCCCAGCTGCCGCCGGAGATCGTTTTCTTCGCGCCCGCCGCCGCAGGCTCAACCACCACGTCCTTCTACTCCTCGAGGCTGCTTACGTTAACCTCACAGCGGAACGGCTCGTCGGCCCGCGAGCTCGTGACCGTGGGCGACATGCGCGCCGACGATCTCGTCTTGTCGGGCACCAAGCCCTGCCGCGGGCCCACCCTCCTCTTCCAGCTCAGCGTGTCCGCGTACCACGTCTGCAACCTCTCCACCGGAGAGCACGTCTCCCTGCCCCCCCTGCCCATGGGCTAGGAGAGTGACCGCTGACGGTCCCTACGTGCTCTCGAGCACCGGGCTCGGCTTCGACCGGGCGGCCAACGAGCACAAGGTGGTCAGGCTCTTCGAGGACTGGAAGAAACAGCCGCACTGCGAGGTGTACGGCCTGAGGTCCGGCGGATGGCGCCCCTGCGCTGGAGACGTGCCGCCGCACGCACCCAAGGGTCTCTGTAGCGCCCCCCCCGGTGTTTGTGGACGGGTGCTTCTACTGGCACATGAACACTGAGATGAACTTTCATGGCCGGGAAACCAGGTTCTTCAGAACGCCGGAGCCCATCCTATCGCTCTCCGTCGATACCGAGCAGTTCGGGTGGATACACCCGCCGGAAGAACGGGCGTGCTACGCCTTCCATCTCGCCGACCTCGACGGCTTTCTGTGCGCCGTGGTGGACACTCGCCTCACCGTGGGACAGTACGAGCTCTGGACTTTGACGGCTGCCGGCTCGACGACGTCGCCGTGGTCGTTGCGCTTCCGCATCAGCTTGGCGAGCCTGCCCCAGCCGATGAGGGACGCCTTGCGCGCTGGGTTCCGCATGCTCCCGCTCGGCTCCTCGCCCGGAGGAGAGATCCTTCTCGCCATGCGCCCCAGGTGGTGTACGCCTACGACCCTGAGAGCAACCGTGTTAACAGGGCGTTCTCCACGACCGACTTCATAGACACCCTGACGCACGAGTCGGAGCTGCTCCTCAACATCGCCATACATGAGGAATGGGTCACCCCCGTCTGCCGCCGCCCTTGGGCCGGTGATCACGTGGGCAAGCTGACTGTTCGTTTTTGCTGAAAAGTCATAGCTCAAAATACTATTTGTTGACTTATTGTAAGAGAAAAATAATGTTCGTTTACTGAAATAGTACGACTCGTAAGAGAAGCGAAGCCCAGCAACTGGCCCGTTGCCAGGCAAGGAGGACGAGGACCTACGGACCGGCGCAGAGATGATGTCACTCTTATGGTAATGCGGGTGTTCTGCCTTCATCAGCGTGACAACAATGGCCCAATACGCCTTAACATCTAGGGATGAGAGTAGGCTAGCCCGTGAACTCATGTATAGATTTCAGTTGCCGCTTAATTAAGCAGCTCATAAAATTAAACCCTACTGGTTGACAGGCTTGCCCGTTTATTACATCTTTTATAAGAGCCTTTAGTGTGAAGAGACTCATATTCATCTATTCTGTATTTTTTTATGTGAATTTTTACGGTGCTCGGAAAAAATAGAGACATCCATTTGGATAGATCAGATAGCTATAAAATAAGAAGAACTAATATAGAGGAACTTAAGTTGTGGACCGAAAACTAAAATATGTGGATTTGGAAAAAAAAAATATGGGTCAGAAATTATTTCTAAAATAAATTTAAAGGGTAGAATAGTACTTTCTGCCCCGGTCCCTTGTGCAACTTTGGCGTGGTTCTGCGTGATGATCGCCTAGATGTGCACCCGGTTTCGGTCTGCAGCAAATCAGATTGATCGAAGTGAGCAGGGGCGGATCCATAGTCATGGTAGGGGGTGCGGCCGCGCTCACAAAAAATTAGAAAAACAATGATTATGTTTAATTTTTCACCATATATGCACCCACACTATAAAATTCTATGCAAGCGCACCCCTTGATTTTGCTCTAGCTCCACCACTGGAAGTGAGGTTGCTGGGATGCATTCATGACGACGGCGTGGCGGCATGCATGCAAATTAAACATTGCAGGTGCTTACTTGGCAGTGAGGCGGGCTTGAGGGTGGCCATCCAGAGCACCTTGGAGACATATGCGTAGTTTTTAAACAGCGGGCTATTGAAAATAGCAGCAATTTTTTTCCGAAAGCTATGAGGCTATAACGACACTACGGCAGATAGCGTTATTATAATGAAAACATGAAAAACACTAATAATTAATGAAAAAACATGACAAATATGAAAATTCAATGAACACAAATATGTTTCTAAGGTTCCACAAGTCTAAGTAACATTACCAATATGACATTACAACATGGTTCATAAAAGTCTAATGTTTAATTATCCAAAATACCAAATCGAAATAAATAATAAGTAGGAAATAACTAATTAAATTGTCAAACTCTATTAGTGTTGGAAAAAACTAAAATAGCGCCACTATTTGAACGCTAAAACTATGCAATTAGCGGGGCTATAGCACACAATAGCGGTTAAAGTTGGCATAGCGGCACAAATAGAAATAGCTTAGCGTTGAGTCTCTCCGACTGCTATAGCCCGCTATTTTTTCCTTGGACGGAGGTCCTTGGAGGAGGACGAGCGCGGTGCGGTTGACGGCGGCGGCGACCATGCAGAGCACCTCCTTGACCTTGTCGTCGATGTCGCGAAGGCGACGACCACGCTAGGGTTGTCCATCCGGATGATGCCCCGCATGCTAGCGTAGACGCCCTGAAGCATGGGCACCTTGGATCGCGACAGCCCGGACTGCACGCCGACACCGACGCCGAGTTGAGATGGCGACGAGGCCTTCATCCGTGCGTAAGGAAAGGGCAGGGGAAAGGCACGTTCAGTATCCAATAGAATGACCATATTTACACTTAATTACTTTTAATTATTTTTTCCAACCCAAAATTTATTCTGCAGGAGGAACCTTGGGTTCCTCCAAAGCACTGTAGACTCCACGCCGACACTGACGCCAAGTTGAGACGGCGGTGAGGCCTTCGTCCGTGCGTAAGGAAAGGACAGGAGAAAGGCACGTTCACTATCCAATAGAATGACCATATTACCCTTAATTATTTTTAATTATTTTTTCTAGCCCAAAATTTATTCCGCGGGAGGAACCACGGGTTCCTCCCAAGCACTGTAACAAAGCTCTTTTTTATTATCTATCTAGAATTTGTGGATGGAGATAAATTCATGATGTATGTAGTAGCTTGTTTGGATATTATTAGATGCATGGTACCTTAATAAAAAAAATTTAATGAAAAATAGACTCTTATAATGGCAGCGGAACGGTGGCAGCGGCCGGGATGCGTGTTAGAATCTCTTGGAAGATCACTTTATTGGGCAGAAACAAATGGCACCACCGGCGCCGAGACCTTTTGGCCGGTCATGGCAGCGCCGACGCCACCTGGAGTGTCTCAATATGGTGATTGATTTGATCCTTCAATCGGTTGTGATCCTCTCATATAGAGAGAGGGTGGTCTTATCCCAATAAAAAACAATCCCAAATTATAATTTTCAAGTTTTCTATCAAAAATCATGTCTTAATCCTGATAAAAAGAGTTTGAGTCTGACTAGACGAGTCAAACTAGCCTAGCCAGGGCAAGGCCAAACTGGCTAGGCAGCAGGGAAACCAGCTTGGCCGTGTCACAAGCCGGCCTCGCCGGTTGGGCAGCAGGCGAGCAGGGAGGCCGGCCTAGCCGGCCCTCAACCCGACTAGGCCGGTTCGGCAGAGCAGCCAGCACGGGGACGCACAACAGAGAGGCCAGCTGGCCCAGCCGGTCAGCCAATCAGCCTGGTCATGGCCATCTAGGTGAGCGGCACCAAGGCGCGCGCTGCAGGGAGGCCAACTGGCCTAGCCGGTCAGCCAGTTGGTCTGGCTGATCAGTAGGAGGCGCGGTAGACGGCCTAACCGACCCCTCAAACGGCTGAGCCGGTTCGGCAGTGGCCAGGGCAGCCTGGCGGCTTGGCGCACGGGCAAGCAGCTGGCCTGGCTGGTTTCTCGGCCGTCCAGGCCGGTTCACCGGGAGGAGTTCCATCTTTTCTTTCCTTTTTCTCCCTTTTCTCTCCTGGGTTCAAATATGGTGATCCAAAATATATTCCAAAGCCTCCTTTTACGATAAATATTATTGCCAAACCTTAAAGCCTATTTTAGTCATCAACAAGACTTGTGAGTCCCATTCAACTGCTTTGCATCTTTGTCATAGTCGTTGGCCAACACAGATATAAGCCTGCGTAACGTCTTTCTCCTGAGCAGAAATATCACAGAGACACCCTTCTTGTTCAAATAATCACCTATATCTGTAGGATTTTCCAAAATTCCCTGGAGAACACAATGCTGGAAGTTATTGCCAGGCACACATTTAGCATCTGGTAGGCGTAAGCATACTTCAATCAATCTGATAAAAATGAGCACAACAATTTTAACGTGGATTATCATTGTTAAGTGTTAACGAGCTTGGATAGATGGCGAGTTTTGCTTAGTACAGAGTTTTGAGAACTGCAGCCTGTTGGTACGTGAGTAGTTGGCAGCTGCCACATATAGGCCATAGCTTTGAGAAAAACATCCATATATGCAGTATGATACAGTTGAATTCTAACTATAATAATTTTCTTAATTACAGAATCCAAACTTTGGCAAGGAAAATAGATGATATAAAAAGGTTTTGCCCATGTGCCACCCATTATAAAATCACAAAAGCTAGCATCGTACAGGTTCTGAAGTCCAGGAGAGATACGTACAAAAACGTAATAAAGGGTAGATCTAGTAGTACACGAAACGAGTCGATTACAGATCGAGCACCAAGGAGACCCGTCAGCTCTACGTGCACGTGTCATGTTTATATGCACGCACGTACCTTGGACGCCAACGTCTCCTTCAACAACTCTCTACACCAAAATCCGATGAGCGGCAGCGTCAACATGCCTGCCGAAGCCGCCTCAGCTCCCTTCCGGCCGTGGGCGGACCTCGACGCCGGCCTCGTCTCCATGATCGCCGCACGCTGCGCGCTCAGGGAGCACGCCTCCTGCCGCGCCGTCTGCTGCGCGTGGCGCTCCGCGCTCCCGTCGCCGCTCTCGTGGCCCCTCGCCGTGCTCCCCGCCGACGACGCCGCGGGCCACCCCGTGTCGCTCGCAGCCTGCATCCACCACGCGCGGCGTTGGGCCAGGCTCCTACACGGCTACACGGCGACCTGCACCGGCCGACTGGGATCGGCGCCGCGGGCTGCCGCTGCGTCGGCGCCTCGCGCGACGGGTGGCTCGCCCTCGTCGCGGGCGACGCCGAGGCGCCCGCGGGGCTCCTGCTGTTCAACCCGTTCACGGGCCAGGAGATCCCGCTGGACCCGGAGCTTTACGAGCCCACGCACGAGCCGGCGCCCAAGATCGTCTTCTCGCCGAGCCCCACGCCGCTCGACTTCACCGCGGTGAGCCTGTGCCGGCCCAACAGGGTCGCCGTGCAGAGGGCGTCCGACGGCCGGTCGCACATCGACGACACGGGCCTGCTCATGGACAGGGACGTCGTCCTAGTTGACGTGGTGTACAGCGACGACGACGTCAAGGTCTACTGCCTGGCGAAGGACGGCCAGGTGCACGTGCTCCACCTCAACCGCCGCCGTCGCTCCTGCCGCCGCCGACGAGTGCCACCCATGGAGGTGGGGCCACTGCCGAAACTGCCCCGCGGCGCCGCTGTCTTCCCTTCACCGTACGACACGATCTCCAAGTTCACGGACGCCAAGAACCTGGTGCTCTGCGACGGCGTGCTCTACCAGGTATGGAGGCGGCCCACCGGCGCTGGCAACGCGACCGTCGCCGCGCCGGCAGGAGGAGTCCGGCGGTGGATCCACATCTTTGAAGGCGACGTCTTCGTTCTGAGGTTCGATCCCGGGAACTGGCCACGCAGCTCGTGCTGGAGCGTTGTCGAGGCGAAGGATCTGCGAGGTAACGCGCTGTTCGTCGGCTTGAACGACGCAGCGGTGGTGCGCGGCGAGGGTGTGAGCGCCAACAGCGTTTACTACTGGGACGGCCTGCGCGGGGGAGACTGCGAGGCTGTGGTCTACAGCATGGCAACCGGAGCCTCCGTCCGGTGGCCAGCGGTGTCGACCGGAGCCGTGTCGAGCCCCGCGTGGTACTTCTTGCCGGCCGGCGATACCCATCGCGTGGAAGCAGAAGCAACTGAGGTAGAAGACACGTCCGCGGAAGCAACTTCACCCGAACTTGACGAGGAGCTGGATCATAGTGCACATTGTCTCAAAAAAACCATGAGCTTGCTCGGTAGGTTAGATTATTCTCTCGTTTATTAATCATTATTATGCTAGTCTCTGAAGTGTAGAGCTATATCGAGATAGGCCTTTTGTTTACATTTTGCATTAAGAGAAACGATTCAATTCCAATCTATTGTCGGGGGCGAGCATTATGCGGTTTGAGTTTTTGAGAGGAGAGTTTTTAGGTAGCCAGGTAGGGTTCAATGTGCTTCCTAGGTAGGGCTGGATATCGAGCCAACTCGGCTTGGCTCGGTCTGACTCGTTAGGATAATAAGCTGGCTCGGCTCGTTATGCTAATGAGCCAAAAGTCCAGCTCGACTCGGCTCAGTAATTAGCTCGAGCTGGCTTGTTTGGCCCGTGAGCCAGAAGGGAAGAAAGAGAAATTAGTAATAAACAACATATAGTTTGTTCACTGATTCATTGATCCATCATCCATGCAAAAGGAAACATACATATACATGGTCTGTTTGTACCGATGAAGTGACGAGGTGTGGTTAATATAATGTTTTGTCCAATAGATAGGGTTCCTTGCAGTTGGCTAAAGTTCAAGCAAATCCAAGTCTACAGATAAACAAACATGCACGTACATGTATGTAACAAAGCAATGTGAGAAGACCTGCATCGATATTATAAAATAATGAATTATTCAAAATAAAACTAAAAAATGTCACTAGGATCATATAAAAGAGCTAGCCCCTAAATTCGTATATAGGTTTAATTTTATGAGCCGCTTAATTAAGCGGCAACCTAAATCTATATGTAAGTTCGCGGGCTAGCCTACTTGTATCCCTAGATGTTAGGGCGTATTGCACTACTACACAAATGTTTTTGCAAGATTGTGTTCTTTTATTAACCAAGACGGTCAAAAAAATCCATCCGCCTCGGAAATTGCTGGGGCAATTAACGGAGGCGGTCATTTTTGTTTATGGAGGCGGTCAAGAAATGCCCGCCTCCAAAAAATGGTCTATTTCCGGAGGCGGTCGTTTTAAGGTGTCTGCCTCCATAAATCCATTTTCGGAGGCGGACACACTATAAGGCCCGCCTCTGAAAAAGCCGAGGCCCAACAAGCCTAGGCGAGGTCCGATAGCCGTCCTCATATATATATATATATAGACACACACATGAACTTAGGGTTCAGCACTGCCATATCTCTTCCTCTCACTCTCCCTCCTCAGCCGAGCGGCCCCTCCTCTCTCCCTCCCTCCCTCTCTCAGCAGAGTGGCCACCTCGAGCTCCTCTCCTCCTCCTCCACTAGTAGAGAACAGGCCTTTGATCCTCGGCCAAAATGGGCTCTAGTCCCGGAATTTTTTGCGCCCGGGATTAGAAATACCTTTAGTCCCGGTTGGTGTCTCCAACCGGGACTAAAGGTCCCCGCCCAACGGCCACTGCGCCTGAGACAGGTGGCGGGGACCTTTAGTCCCGGTTGGAGCCACCAACCGGGACTAAAGGTATTTCTAATCCCGGAAAAAATTCGTGAGTAAAGGTCTACTCCCGGCCGTGGCTGCGCCCGGGGTTGAAAGTTACCTTTAGTCCCGGTTGGAGCCACCACCGGGACTAAAGGTCCCTCTTATATCCGGCCGACTCCTCCTTCCTCCCCGAGCCCGAGCTCAAGACATTTTGAAGCTCACCTGCAGTAGTGTTCTTGCTTCCTCCCTCCCTCCATTGTTTCTCCATCCATTATTCGATTCCTCCATCGATTTCTTGATTCCTCCGTCGATTCTTGATTGTAAAGGTTACCAATCTCATACTCTCATTTTTCACCATTGTCTTATCTTATTTTGTTCACTATATATATATATGGTTCTTTATTTTGGTTTTTTTTCATTTGTAAGCAATTTGAGCTCAAAATCACTTCAAGCTTGCATATTTACATGAAATAAGGTTAAAGTAGCTAGTTGAACTTGCGGACCGTGTTCATCTCGGCGAGCACGTTCTCTGCCGAGCGGTAACGGACGTCAAGGAGGAGCTTTGATTCACGAGGGAGAGCGGCAACGGTCGTGGAAGACCGTGTTCCTTCCTCGTAGAATTGGAGCTCTTCCGTGGTCAAGGCATGCGGTGCCGTCCTGTGGAGAAATGCTCACCGAGATGATCACGTAAGCAAGGTCAACTAGTACGGATGGTTATTTATTCACATGTCCCGATATCGTCGCAGTGAGTCTCATCAATCACCGTACCCCAAACGTAGTATATATATAAATATAAACTTAGAAAATAGTTAGAAAATTATAGAAAATCCATACTAGTTGAACTTGCGGACCGTGTTCATCTCGGCGAGCACGTTCTCCGCCGAAAGCGGTAACGGACGTCAAGGAGGAGCTTTGATTCTACGAGGGAGAGCGGCAATGGTCGTGGAAGACCGTGTTCCTTCCTCGTAGAATTGGAGCTCTTCCGTGGTCAAGCACGGTGCCGTCTGTGGAGAAATGCTCACCGAGATGATCACGTAAGCAAGGTCAACTAGTACGGATGGTTATTTATTCACATGTCCCGATATCGCCGCAGAGTACATCAATCACCGTACCCAAACGTAGTATATATATAAATATAAACTTAGAAAATAGTTAGAAAATTATAGAAAATCCATACTAGTTGAACTTGCGGACCGTGTTCATCTCGGCGAAAGCACGTTCTCTGTCGAGCGGTAACGGACGTCAAGGAGGAGCTTTGATTCTACGAGGGAGAGCGGCAGCGGTCGTGGAAGACCGTGTTCCCTTCCTCGTAGAATTGGAGCTCTTCCGTGGCTGGGCACGGTGCCGTCCGGTGGAGAAATGCTCGCCGAGATGATCACGTAAGCAAGGTCAACTAGTATGGATGGTTATTTATTCACACGTCCCCCGATATCGTCGCGATAGTCATTATGTGTGTACACTCCCATTCTTCGTTAATTTGCGAGAAATATCATGTGAATTACTTACTGCCTTGCATGAAAAGCGAGAACACAATGACCATTAAAAATATCATTGTTTAGAGATCTAGATAATTTTATAGTTTCTTAATTTTATTTGTTTATAAAAGGAGAAATTTATAGTGTATTAAAAAATGAGTATAGAGAGTAGATGGCAACTGCTTCCGGGTCCTCGGCCTCTCATGGGTTTCCAAAGCGACTTAGGCCGGGCCTCCCTCTCATTCCATGCGGCAAGTGTCGTGATGAGACGAAGATTGTGATGGAGTACCGAGTGAAGAAGGAGGGTCCCAACAAGGATCGTATCTTCTACAAGTGTCCGGATCGCAATGTGAGTTATTTTATCGTATTTAATGATTATGGTTAGTATATAACTTCAAGTGAGTGTTAATCATGTCGATCATATCCTTAATGGCTCATATGTTGATTCTAGTTAATTAATGAGTGTTATGCGTTATATCCTATAAACACATGCAGCAATCACTGGATATTGATGGACATCGATCTGGTGAAAAGTCACTTGATAATCTATGACTCGATGAGAAAACCACAACAAGACTACCGAGATATGATAGATATTATCCAGAGGTAATTTCGGGATCTCTAGCAACTATATATACACACAAATATGATGATTAACTATATCTGATGACGTGGCAAATTTTTTATTGGGCAGTGTTTGGAAAACCTTTATTGAGAAGCAACACATGGAAAAATGCAAAGCGCCACTGAATGTAATCCCTTTGAAAGTAAGTCCCCTGAATCGCATCATCTTTATTAATTAAACATATAGCTTTCACCGGATCACCAGATTGGATGACAAATCTTTTTCTCGTAAAGTGGTGTCTAAGGCAGGAACAGGGGAACAACTACTGTGGTTACTATGTTTGCAAGTTTATCAAGGTGCTCTCCCAAAGAACTCCTACAGAGAGACTCAAAGTACGTTAAAATACACTATATATTCATTTAATTATTATTATTGATTGTGTTATTATGTCTTTATATATATATATATATGTACATATATTAATTTATTTTCCTTTAATTCAAACCTGTAGACTCGATGGTTGGAGGAAAAGGTCATACGGCAAGACAAAATCAAAGCAATTCAAGAGTCTATAGCCGGATTTTTTAATGAGCATGTCATCGATTCCAAGGGCGAGTTCTACTTGGACCCAACACTGCCATTGAAGCCAAGCTAGAGAATGAGAGGAAACTTGTTATGTCACAACAACTGTAATGCAATCTTTTGTAATATATGCACATGAAATAATATAATGTAAAATACACATATGCATGCATGCATGTAAATATATATATATATATATGATGCATGCATTCATATATATATATATATATATATATATATATATATATATATATATATATTTCTATGCTTGAATTGTGTGATTTAATACGTTCATTGTGCTTGAACCGAAACATACTATATGCGCGTATAAATGTATAATTAGCAGCGTACAATACGATTTCGAAAACCTATTTTGAAAAGAAAACAAAAAATTGAAAAGAAAAGAAAAAAGAAAAAAAACATTTAGTCCCGGTTCGTATTACCAATCGGGACTAAAGGTGCCGGCCATCGTGGCATGTCAGGAGGCATCTTTAGTCCCGGTTGGTGTTACCCACTGGGACTAAATGACCCCCCTTTAGTCCCGGATGCTTGCTCCCGGGTGGGGAACCGGGACTAGAGGGGGTTCCCCACCGGGAGTAAAGCTCGATTCTCTACCAGTGCTCCCTCCCACTCACACGCGCTCCTCCCCTACTCCTCCCACACACGAGCCATGGCCGGCGCCACCTCGAGCTCCTCTGCCGCCGGCTTCTCCATCTGCGCGGTGCTCCTTGTGACGTCACTCGTGTGCGCCGCGTGCCTCTTAGACTCCGGGGAGGCACGCTGATGAAAGCAGAACATCCGCATGACCATAACAGTGACATCGTCTCTACGACAGTCCGTAGGTCCTCGTCCTCCTTGCCTGGCAACAATCCGGTTGCCGGGCTCAATCTTCAGCCTGCCCACATCATCACCGGCCCCAGGGCGGCGGCAGACGGGGTGACCCATTCCTCATGTATGGCGATGTTGAGGAGCAGCTCCGACTCGCGCGTCAGGGTGTCTATGAAGTCGTTCGTGGAGAACGCCCTGTGAACACGGTTGCTCTCAGGGTCGTAGGCGTACACCACCTGGGGCGCATGGCGAGAAGGATCTCTCCTCCGGGCGAGGAGCCGAGCGGGAGCATGCGGAACCCAGCGCGCAAGGCGTCCCTCATCGGCTGGGGCAGGCTCGCCAAGCTGATGCGGAAGCGCAACGACCACGGCGACGTCGTCGAGCCGGCAGCCGTCAAAGTCCAGAGCTCGTACTGTCCCACGGTGAGGCGAGTGTCCACCACGGCGCACAGAAAGCCGTCGAGGTCGGCGAGATGGAAGGCGTAGCACGCCCGTTCTTCCGGCGGGTGTATCCACCCGAACTGCTCGGTATCGACGGAGAGCGATAGGATGGGCTCCGGCGTTCTGAAGAACCTGGTTTCCCGGCCATGAAAGTTCATCTCAGTGTTCATGTGCCAGTAGAAGCACCCGTCCACAAACACCGGGGGGGCGGGGGGGGGGCGCTACAGAGACCCTTGGGTGCGTGCG